GCTGATCACAGCGGGAATGGGAGCCAGAAGCAGCTGCCTCTTACAGAGACCAGTCCTGGCTTCACAAGGTGTGCTAATGACCCAGGACTAGCTGTAGGTCAGGCAGACAGGATCCTAACTCTGCAGGTTGTCCAGCCCCTGTTGAGTTCAGCACTTGAAGAAAACTGTGAGCTGGCACCTGTGAACCTCACAGAATCAGCTGATGGACCATTTCTTGCTGCTTTTCTCTTTTTTTTTACTGTGAGAAATCCAGATTTTTGAATGTTCCAGCTCCACTGTGCTTGCAAGAGCAGCAACTCTGGGTGAATTTCTGAGGGCACTCTGAATGCAGCTGGAATCTCCAAAAAGTTATAGTGTGATTTGTTCAGAATAAGTCAGCAATGGTGTGGCAGAATGCCCCCTTTCTCTCCTAGTCTGAGTGATTGTATCTGTCTTACAGTGAGCTACTTAAGGTAGTCTTAGTAAAGATTCACAAAACATGTTCACATGCTCTTCAACGGACGTCCTCTGTTATTGTGTACAAAGTGCATGTAACATATTTCTACCTGTTAAAACGTAATTTTTAAGCTATATTGGTTATTAAGGTGTGCTGAAAAATCTTGCAAGATATTCAGAGAAGCTTTTTGCAATTTGTGGTTTTACATATTGTGATTGACAAGGAAAAATAGTCCTGAAAACCCTTGAATGTTTTTGAGTAGTTAATGAGAACATGTTATGAAAACATAAAGGTGGAAAAATAATCAGAATTGCCTTATTTTTCTGTTATGCCTTTTAGAAAAGTAGAACAAGCTCACCAACAACTTCATTAAAACTAGCTACGCCAAGTTCTTCTTTGAAGAGATCAGCAAGATTATCACCTACTCTGCCATCAAGTCAGAGCCCTCAAAGGTATGACATTTCTAGCAGTGGAAAGCGGTAAGTACGAAAGTCCCTTGTACATCTTTCTGCACACCAATATACCTTGAATATTTATGAAAGGCTTTTAGATCCTACTGTTTTAATGAATATTTTTCTTTAATACAATAATGTGCTTAGTGACACACAGTTATGGTACAGATTGCATGCATGGAGAATTCCTTCCTGGCTGATTAATATCTCATTTGTTTGTGCCACAACACAAAAGGGTTTATTTCTCCAAATACAAGTGGTTTATCCTCTCTTGTGTAATAGTTGATATTCTCTACATACATTCATATTCTTTTAACCTGCCTCAAGTGCTTGCCCTCAAAGATATGCTGTGTCAGTGATTTCCACAGGGCCACATGAAAAATTATTCCTCTACTGTTTTTACATTTATTGTAAATTTGAACTCCAGGTATTTTTCCCTCTACTATTCACTATGTCATTCTACCTCTCACATACCCCTTTTTAGTTGTTTATTTTATAAGCAGTCTTAGTTTTTTTCTTTAAAATGTATTGAAAATGTTGTTTGTTTGTGGATCCAGGCCAAAGTCAATGAGCAGAGACATGATTCATTGCTTAGCTTTGGAAGACTCAAAATACCAGAGGCATAGAAGGTACACCTATGCTGAGCTGCTCCCAGTAAGTACTACGTGAAAATGTTAGTAGTCTTTAATTATGGGTTAAAACACTTTATTCTGTAGTATTAAAGGGGAGGTAGTCAACAATGGGGAGAAATTGGTTTAATAATATGAATGTCAATGCCTTATGCAAAGATATAATTAGAATGTCAGCATTTTCTGTGTGGTATCTGTCACCTATTTGATAGGAAATCATGGCATATACAGAGGTTTATTTTCACTGGCAAGTGTTGATCTTCTCCATGGTGACCATGTGTTCAGTAGGCATTATGGAAAACTCACTGGATAAATGCTTCAGTAGAATCGTTGCCTAGGAAAGTATAGCAGACTCACAGTGAAAACTGAATCTGCTCTAGAAAGTCATTAAAATAGTAAAATTCATAAGAGGAAAATGCTTCATTTATGCACTTCATTCTTTTCTTTGTTGAATTATTGCCTGCTAAGCAGGCTCTCAATCCGGCAAACCTCAGGAGGGACAGGCTGCACAGAAGAGCCTTTTCTCAGTAACTGTTAAAATGCTGACAAATCGAACATGTCAGATGTCAAGATCTGGCAATTTAAAGTATATCCAAAATCTTTCACGTTTGTGGAATGGTCTCGAAACAGTCTGCTGTTTCATGGAGGTATTGACACCCATGGCCTCACAACAAAAAAAAACCTCAGCGTATTACGTAATCTGGGCCTGTTTACGTATGTGTGGAGTTTGGTGATCACTTGAGCACGTGATTGTTCGTTTTTCACATCAAAATCATACTTTGTTTATTACTTCACTGTAACCATTTTACTTCTTTGTTAATTTTGACAGAAAAAAGGCTAGTCTTTGCAATTAGTGGACATTTGCAGTAAGAAACTTATATTCAGGAAATGTTCACACCATGAACTATTAGTTTTTATACACCTTCATCGCACAGTTTCCCTCTGGATGAGGGAGAAAATACTATCCATTTACACTTACAGGGCTAGACTGGAACCTGGAGTCAGGACCCCACAATTTGCCATCACAAATGTGATGCAAAGCGGAATGCAGGGATTCATAGTTTAACTTCATACTTGGGAGGGGGATATCCCTACTCTGCTTCAGAAGCCTGGCTTCCTCCTGCCCTCCTCCATCCCTGTTACTGTTTGGAAAGAAGCTGGTTGTCAGTCATCACACTCATCTGCTCCCACTTCTGCTATCTATCAGAGATAGCAAGTCAGCCAAGGTTTTTCTCTTGTGATCAACAGAAGCTAATTTACTACTTTGTAACCTCATCTGGCTTCTCTGTGAGCATTGCCAAAATGGATGTATTCTTCCTCAAATGCTCCAGGAGCTAGCTCCAGTAAAGAGCATGGATTTCTTGCTTCCTAAAATGCTCATGATTTTGTTGCTGGTGTCAGTGGTGTAACCTCAGGAGACATATCTTTTGTTCCACGACCGTTAATTGTTTGGAGGCTTGACCAAATAACCACCTGTTAACTTCTCTTAATTCAAAACATAGTAGCCTGAGCTGAGACAACTTTTGACAGCTAAGTGATATGGTTTAGTATCATTGGAATTCTCTGCATTCAGAGCTAAACAGATAATGACAGAATTAAGGACAGGCTTGTTTTTCTGTTTCAAGAATTGAGGACCCACCAAAGGGATGCTACGGTCATTTTGCTACTCTGTATGCCTTCAGTCATCAGACTTACTCCATTGGATGTGAATATTTAGTGAGAAAATTGTATGGAGAGCTATGATCAATTGCATATGTAGTAGAAAATGGAGTCTAGTTTCTTGGGATGAAGATACTAATTGAACACACTGCATGGCCCTCCATTGCAATGTACTGACATTTGAAAATAATGAAAGCCTGTTATTCCTTGCTGTATAACTACATTTTATTTGTCCAGGGGAAAAGTGCTGCTGGCAGTGTTGTCCTAGGGGGATCAACAATGGAAAGCATGTTGCAGTCTCTTTATTTGGAGAACAGAGCAGGCTACTACTTCACACACTTCTGTGAGAAGTCAGGGAATAAGGTATGAGCATTTTCCTACCCTGTGATAATTTAGTCAACAATTGACTGAATGCCAAGTTATAGAGGGCAGCCAGACTGAAAAAAAAAAATGGAGAAAGAAAGATTGATGACTGGATGAATTATTACTTGTGAGACTCCAATCCCTCAACAACAATAAACTGTTCATGTGTATATTCAAACTAATGACAGGTCTTAACCAAGCTGTCAGATCCTAACTGTCTCAAAGCTATTGGAAATCTGATTGTACCATCAGGGATAAAAAAAGACTAATCATTTTTTAAAACTAGCCTTCAACTTGGCAGAAAAAATGAGGTCTTAACCCACAAAAACATTTTTTAAAAAGATGGAAAATCTGCTGTGCTATTACTCATGATAATCTGCCTCCTTCTTACTTGTTGGGTTAGTGATGTCCAAAATCTCCAATGTTTTAAAAACGTTCTTCTGCTTCCATGAAGCTTCTTGGATTTCTGAGAAACATAACACTATTTCTTCTCTGCAGTCAGCAGATCCATCATTCATTGCTGGGTGTAAATTGAGGATTGGTTGGAACAAGCTATGAATCTGAGTCAGTGTTTAGTGGCTTTGCAGAAAAATTGAGTCTTTAGGGGAGATTTGAATGCAATCAAGATGGACATCTGTTTCACCGCTGGCAAAACCCAGAATCCAGCAGCAGTAGCTAGAAATGCCTTTGGCTACCAGAAGGCAAGAGTCAATGTTTCCAAAGCTGAATACCTTCAGCTAAAAAAGTTAAATGTGCATAGATAGAAATTTAAATAAATGTAATTTATCTTTCATTGGAGATAGGCACCCACCCGCATGTCCTCTAGCCTTTGCAGGTGCCAGACTCCTTTGAAAATTATTTCCTTAAGGTTTTGTCTACCACTGTGGAGCCTGTTTCACTCATATGCCAGGTCTGACAGGCTACAGTTTGTGGGGCAAAGTTCCACGTCCCTATCTTTTTGGAACACTTTCTTTATTGTCCAGTAACGGGGGTTTCAGGGTATTTTTAAGATCCAGACCCCATAAGCACATGATTAAAACAGAGGACTTGGGGAAAGATCTAGATTCCTTCTTCTGAAAGATCTTTTGATGTTTGTCTGAATTATGAAATGAGGCCAAGACTCTGTGCCTCAGAAATGCACATGTAATAAAAATGTAATGATAGTCCCAGTAACATATGTCAAGTACACAATATTTAATTGTTTTGGTTATTGCTGCAAAATGCTGTTTCACCATGGCACAAATTCTGCATGTCCATTATCAGCATTTCTTCTTTAGTGCTGGCTTTATGCCACTGAAATGTGGTTACTCTTCAAATGTTAACTACAATGTTAACAATTTTAATGGCCAATTATGCATAAAGGCTACAATAAAAGATATAGTATCACAGTGATGATGCCATTAAATATGTTGTCCTTCTGCCAGTATGCAACAGAAGATTAAATCCATCTTAAATTGAGCTTGATTTATGATGGCCCCAAGGAGCTAAATAATTACTTGCATTGGAAAGTCAACCTTTTATAAAGCTGTGATATTTGGGTAGCAATAACTTACAATATTTTTCGTTTCTAGTTGTGGAAGAACAGTGCGTACTTTTGGTTTGACCTACAGGCTTATCATCAGCTTTTCTATGAAGAAACTCTTCATCCTTCTAAAATACGCAAGCAAGCCCAAGTAAGCTGTAAATAATGTGTTTTCCTTTCACAAACACATTTGTTCGTTCCCTTCACAAATACATTTGTTCAGTGTAAAGACTGAAAAGAAGATAGAAAGTAGAAAAGTTTCCAAATCTTGACAACCCACACCAAAGTAAATCTGGGCTGTGGACAATAAAAGAAGCTTTTTGGATTGTTTCCATGGAATTTCTTGATTTAAATGTTAAACATGCATAGCTTGATTTCTAGGCTCTGCTGCCTGTTGCCAGTTTTATCTAGTGTACTCAGCTTACCTAATCTCCCCTTTGCTACTCTGTGTCCTATTTGGAAACTATCTGCTTAGTGTTAACATCAGAGAGAATATTTTTTTCTAAATTATCTGATTGTGCTGTACCTTTCCTTCCATCTCCTGTGTGGGTTAGAATTGCAGGTTTCACTGTCCAGACCTCAGATAATGACCTTAGTTATGCAAATGGCTCTTTCAGCTGTCAGTCCTGTTTTTCTTTTTCTGATTCTCAGGGCATCATTATGCTCTTTTTGTAGTCATCATCCCCCCACTTGATCTTTAGACCCTCATTTACTGTCAAGCAGAACTGATATTTCCTATAAATGAGCATTCTTAATTGAGCATGCACTTTAAGTCAGGGAATAAAACAAAAGTGAACTGGTTCACCACAGGCCATGGGTGCTGATGGCTGTCACCGATGGCAGAATAGTCTGATACTGCCAGGGAAGGAGGCTGCAGCAGTGTGGTATCATTAGAAGAACTCCAAGCAACTTTTAAAATCACTTTGTGAAACTTCGGTCTGTTTTTCCTCTGTAAACCTTGTGTAGGAGTATATCCTATCTGCATATTTCCATACATGCTGTAATAGAGCAAAGCTACTTTACATGTCATTGGAACAAATATTTGTAGACAGCAGTGGAGAATAATCTCTTTGTATGGCTTATGTTACTGAGCATCTGGACTTCCTTGAATTTGTCTTCTTCTACTTGGAGTTTTTACTGGGGCAAATGACAGAATTTGCATATTTGTCCAGAATTCTCACCTGAATCAGTGTTATTTGTACAGAAACTCCAAGCAGAGGCCAAGGCATGGATTCCTCCCTCTCTCCTGTCACACACTGGCTAACTTGAACTGCTGCCCTATTTTGTTGTTTTCCCCTCCAGCTCTACTTACAGCCTGAGGCTGAGAGCAACTGACTGCACCCCTAAGACTAACTGTGTCCGGTATCTGTCCAGGCCTGTGTGTTGCTAGGGACCCCGCTCACAACAGGCGTGCAAGTTAACCATATCTAGACTGTGTCTTCATTTTCCTATGTGTTTTGTTGCAGGCCAAATCTTAGGTCCTGGTCCATGATGGTTTTCAATTTGGTTCCATTTCATACCAGCTTACACTC